TTATTAATGCCATGGACAAACCAACAGGAAATAGCATGGCAGAGGCTCCAAAGAAAGTTTAGACCCCAGTGCCAAATTCAAACAGAATGGTGGGATCTCTGAAGAGACATCAGAGCCCAGCTGGCAGAAACAGAAAATTGTTTTTGTATTTTTTGAGAATGAGGGATGTTCCACAGCAAGAACCTAAGGCCACGCTCTTTGTTTGCCATTCAGGAATTTGGGAAGGAGTCAGGAATCATCATGTGTAGCAATGAAGTTCACTCACTTCTCTGGTGAGTGATTTTGACACCTGGGGAAGTCTGTTAAGTGTGGACTCTCAGATAATGCCACTGGGGTGACTGTACCTATGGAAGGGGAATGCTAAAGATGTGGTGGCCTGAGCAGAGGCTGAACTGTCCCTGAGTGGAAAGAGAATCACCAACCACTCATCCATTTAAGTAGACATTTCCTTCTCTGGTAGATGTGCTTTCGGTAAAATGAAAGCGTAACCGTCTTGGCAGACACAAAATATTCTAGAGACATTCATGTTCCTCTGGCCATGAAGCTATTGAAACAAGTCCCAAAGAGTTAAAATTTCCCCAGGAATCCCACACTGAGGAAGGAAAAGGCTAAAGCCCTATACATCCAGAGAAGTTTGTCTTCCAGGGATGCCTTATCAAACTACCTTGAAGGGCAAATTAAGAGCCTAAAGAATGACAAACAAGACCATACCTTGATCAGGACTTCATAGTTAATATTTTCCTCTTGCCTGTCCTTTAAACCCTAACCTCCAAGAGTACACTGAAGACAGACTTGGGACAACTGGATGTGCTGGCTAGTTTTATGTCAACTTGACACAAGCTAAAGTTATCTGACAGGAAAGAACTCAAGTGAGAAAATGCTTCCATAAGATACTGCTTAGGGCATTTTCTTAATTAGTGGTTGATGGGGAAGGGCCTAGACCATTGTTGACAGTGCTATCCCTGGGCTGATAGTCCTGGAGTCTAAAAGAAAGCAGGCTGCTGAGCAAGCCATGAGGAGCAAGCTAATAAACAGCATGCATCCATGGCCTCTGTATCAGCTCTTCCTTCAAGGTTTGAGTTCCTGTCCTCATTTCCATCAGTGATAAATAGTGATATGGAAGCATGAGCCAAATAAACCCGCTCTTCCCCAAGCTGCTTTGTGTCATGTGTCATCACAGCAATAGTGACCCTAACTAAGATACTGTATCTCCTTATTTGTTAATTTTCTCTGTGCGTCCATATTAAAAACAAAATAAAACAAACAAACAAAAACCCAAAAATCTCCATTCTCTGCACTTCACTATTGTTGCTTTTTTAAATAGTGTACTCTGGATTGGGGAGAGTGTGGCTGAGCCCCACTTATTAGAGATGTCAGAGCTCACGCTTGTGTCCTAAAACCTTTAGTGACAAAAGTACCATCTTCCCATGGAACTTCAGGGTAAACACCTGAGCTATAGTTCTCTCTTTTCACAGTAAAATATTTTTTCTACTGGACTGTAGTGGTACATGTCTTTAATCCCAGCATTTGGGAGGCAGAGGCAGGCAGAACTCTGAGAGTTCAAGGCCAGCCAGAGCAAGTTCCAGAATACCCAACGCTGCACAAAGAAACCTTGTCTGGAAAAATTGTGTGTGTGTGTGTGTGTGTGTGTGTGTGTGTGTGTGTGTGTGTGTGTGTTTCTGTTATTCAGCTTAGTACCTGCCATCACATCTGGTCCCAGGTCTTGTCTCCAGAAAACAGATCCTTGATAAGAGGCCTTGAGTGAAGACCATAGTACTCTAGCTGGAAGGTACCTACAAAAACAAACAGAACCAAACAAACAAAAAACAAAGACCTGCAGAATCTGTTCTGCACATAGGATTAATCTTGTGCCATTTCTGAGTTCTACTCATTCATCTTTCTCTTGGACTAGGTACCCTGGGCTAGCACCCCAATTCATAATGCTGATGTTACAATTACAGAGAAGAGATATTACCAACATGGCAGACTGCATTATGTAAACAACAGATTCTCTAAGAGAGATGGAGACTCCTGTCAGGAGCAGGAAGTTCCTTCATCTGGTCCTGAGGTTTAAAGCTGAATTCTCAGGGCTTCTTTAGGGAGGGAAATGAATGGGGTAGACCCTGATTCCAGGGTCAGTTATTGTGGCTGAGCTTTGCTGTGAATACTGGGTTTCTGTGTATAAACAGGCAAAAGGAATTGGTTTGAATGCCACAGAGGTGAAACTGTAAAACAACTGGACTAGACTAATCTTCCCATCATGTAGGAAAAACTGAGCAGGGTGGGCAGAGGATGAAGACATTGTTAGTGGGATCTAGCAAGCCCACTAGTGGGCTATGGCAAAAGTTTTCCTAGCCTGTTTTTGAAGGCAGGTTCTCACACTTTCTTCTTCAGTCAATCAACATGTACCTCTCCTCTCCTTTAGAGGAGTCCAACTACTGCCAACAAGAAAAACAAAGGGTCAAAGTGGAAAAAACACACTAATGTTCCCAGTTGACTCCCGACCTGCTAGGCTTCGGAGCAGTGGTTCTCAACCACTGCTGCAACCCATTAATACAGTGGTGCTCAGCCTCTGCTGAGACCCTTTAATACAGTTTCTCATGTTGTGGTGACCCCCAACTGCAATTTTTTGTTGCTCCTTCATAACTGTAATTTTGCTACTGTTATGAACCACAATGTAAATACCTGATATGCAGGATATCTGATATGTGACCCCTGTGATAGGGCCATCCCACCCCGGGGGGTGACACAATCCATAGGTTGAGCACTATTGCTCTAGAGGCTCACTGCCTCCAATCAGTGAGGAAAGTCCATGCCCTCCTATCACCTGGAATCTTTGCTGCTGCTTGGTCCTGGCCCCCTGCCCTCCTTCCGCGTTGCTTTCCACCACCATTCTGCTATCTTGACTTACTCAGACCATGGAGGCTCCCCAAATGCTCTGACCCCTAAACAGTCCTTTCACCGAGAGGACGATGTGGCTTGCTTAGCTTTGAAAGACTGCCTCTTCCACCTGTTCAAAAACATCTTTATAAGATGCACGCAGAGAAACGGATTGCGAAGCACCCAAAGTGCTGGAGAATTTTTGCGAAAATGTTGTATGTGCTTTCAGGCAAAGTACTCCAGTTTTCTGAGTCTCAGCTTTCCCTTTTTAGAACCAAGCAGCTGGAGGAGTTATTTCTAAGGTCCTCAGCGGCTGACAAGTGCGGCCCCGCCTTCTTCTTGTCTATTCTTTGAAGGCATTCTTTGAAGATCATTTTCCCAAGAGCAAAGTGTTCCCTGCAGGAGAGTATGTCAGGTATGTGTTCCCTGTGGTTATCTTTAGGGACAGTGTAGAACACATGAAATTAGGTGAGATGAAAGAAACCAGACAGAGCAGTGAATTTTGCTGCTGCTTTGGAGGATGGAGAGGACCAATTGAAGGGATCTGCACTCACAGGGGAAACCAAGGAGACAGAGATAACTTGATTACCACCAGGTCCCTGCCCTGGCTCCTCAAATTCCTATGGACTCTGGGGGGAAGGGTGTTAAACAGTGTTTAATCTCAAGGTTAAATGGAAAACTGGGAGTGTAGCCCAGTTGGTAGAGTGCTTGCCTAGCATGCACCAGGCCTTGGGTTCTATCCCCAACATTCCATATATGAGGTGTGGTTAGTGCATGCTCATAATACTTGTACTGGAAGGGTCAGGAGTTCAAAGTCTTCTTCTGCTCCATACTGAGTTTGGGGACAGTCTAAGACACTTGAGACCCTGTCTCACAAGAACAGAGACTACACAGCAAAGAGTACATAGAGGGAGTGAAAGAAATGCTGTCATCTGGACTTCTGTTAGTGCACTTCCTGCAGTGAGAGGTCTCTTTAAATGTTCGTATGATGCAAGTAAGTCACTTATGTACAATCATTCTAATTGAAGTTTCCATGCATATGTGTATGTATGCATGTGCCTGTGTGTTCACAGAGGCCTGGGGAAGGCATCCATATTCTCATCTATCACTCTCTACTTTATTCTCTCTGGTGTAGTGTCTTTCACTCTTTCTCTAGGCCTGCAGCTCTTGGTTTTCTGACTAGATTGGCAGTCATCGAGTCCCAGGGATTCTTACAGATATATTCTGGGCCCTATTTATCTTGTTGTGTGGACAATGCCAAGCTGGGCACTCAATGCTTATATGATATGTATGCTTAATTCCCTGAGCCATAAGTTCCTTACAGTCACTTTGAAAACTCTTGTTTGGGAAGAGCTGATGGACAGGCTCACACATCAACTATTAACACCCATTTACAGACCTAATTACTCAATCCTGTGCAGAATGAATTATTCCCTATTTTAAATATTACTCGAACATCTAGGAGTATCTAAACTCAGATCTCTATTCTGTCCCTAGTACTGTAGTCATATTCATAGATTCTTCAAAGAGCTTCAAGACAGCAATTTCAAACCCAACTCTCCAGTTAAAGGTTGCACATCTTGGAACAAAGAAGTAGAGTATATCAAAGGCTTCAGGAAGACCTTACCAGCATCGCATTATGTGTCAGACTCTTACTCATGCTTTTAATCCCTAAGCCTCAGGTCAGCAAGGGTGGGTTTGATACAGAAGTTCCTAGGGTTAAGCTTAGGCTTGGGAACCCCTAATAAGCTAGGCTTGGCTACCCATTCTCAACTGGCCAATTACAAGTAACCATGAAAGGGTCAAAAAGAAAGGCATTTGTTCCTTATTGCTACACTGAGAAGAGGAACACATAAAGGGATTTTGTGACCCTTCGTCTATCTTCAGTATACTGACATGAACTTGAGATTACTGCAGACAGCAGGTAGTATATGTGACAAAGCAGACCACACCTGATCAAGGTGTGGTTGTGCACATCAGTGACCCACAATCCTCTCTGCTCTAATCTCTCCTGTGCAATGGTCTAACAAGTTGTCAGAACTGTGTCTCCTGGGAGACAAGATCCCCTCTGACTGGTACCAGACTTCCATTCTTTCCTTCCCTGAGCATGAGGTACCCTAGAAAATTCCAGTACCTTGAGGACCACCTGCTCCATAGTCCAGTTGTCAATGCAGGATATCGGGGAGTCGCAACGGTTTCTTTAGAATATCGTCCTTTCTGTCCATGTGGTTACAGGTTAATCCTGGAGATGAAAAGACCTGTGCCATCTCATTCTGCAGTACCATTTAATTCTGCACAGCATGCATGGAGAAAATGACTGGAGAAACCAGACCTTGGATATCTTCAACAGAACAGCGCCCATGTGAAAACTCACTTAGGCTTTGTTATACCCAGTTCTTTACCAGTTCTGAATAGGGAGTGATGTAGCAGTGGTGAATCAGATCCTCCCAACCTTTTCTTGTCCAGAATTCCCTTCCTCACAGCCTCTGGATGACGGGGTTGCAGGAGACCATCTCTTGGTAGGCTTGACTTCACTCCATTTTCAGTCTCTGTTGCTGGTTTTTAAAAATATCTTGTTTTCTTTGTATTTCATGTATATCTTTGTACCATTTGTATACAGTGCCTGTGAAGTCCAACAGAGAGCGTCAGATCCCCTGGAATTAGAGTTAGTGATGATATGAGATGCTGTGTGGGTACTGGGAACCAAACCTGGGTCCTCTGCAAGAGCCCCAAGTGCTCTCTTTTTTAAATTTGTTTTACTATTTTATGTGTACAGGTGTTTATCTGAATGTATGTCTGCATGCCTGGTATTTACAGAAGCCAGAAGAGAACACTGGAGCCCCTAAAACTAGAGCTACAGATGGTAGTGAACTGCCATGTGGATGCTGGGAATTGAACCTGAGTCCTCTGGAAGAGCAGACAGTGCAGTGTTCTTAACCACTAATCCACCTCTCTAAACCTTGATGATACCACTATTGTGCACTAGCGTCTACATTCTCTCTCTAGGACTCTTCATTTATCTATTTAAAATGTCTTCTCTAAACAGACCTGGATTCCCTCCAGGAATGGACCATATCCAGTCTGTCCTGGCCCTCTCAGTGCCTGAGAGTGCCTGGTACATAATGGATTTTGGAAATACTTGTTGAATGGAAAGCTGAATGACTCAATCAACAAGACTGAATAAATGAGCAAATCCATTCCTGGTCCCCAGCGCCCTGAAGGCATCACACGTGGTCCTGCTTACCTGGCTCCTGATGCCACGCATGTGTGAGACCCCCCAGACTTCCACTGTAGGTGATAATTCATTACAATTGGGAGTGTTGTGGGCATCAGAGAAACCTTCACATAGCAGATACCTGGTTAATTAGAAGTTTCTTCCTTTCTCATGTGAGATTTTAGGAGGAAAGCTAAGCACTGTCACCCATTGCCTGGGATGGTTACTCTAGCCTAGCCATCATATGTATTCCACCCCACAGGAGAGAAGGATGACAAAAGGATATTACTTATCCTTAATAATATTGCTTAAAGTTGTATACTCCAGTATAGGTAAACATGATCGATTAGAACTATGCCAAATGGCCACACCTGGCTGCAAAGAGGCTAAAAATGTAGTATTCATTTTTTGTACCACCTATTGTGGGACCTGAATCACTGTGCACTATGATGATGAGAAACAACAATGTCTTCTGTAGGAACCACTGAAAGCATTTTGCTTAGTTTGCTAAGGAAATGCCAGATCAAATCAGTAATTGAGGAATTGTGACTGGACACAAGAAGGGATTAGAGACAGAAGGAGCTGCCGTGGCAAGGAGACCTGGAGGGGGTAGGTGCACAAATCCAGACAGAGGGTGGGAGGAGGAGTGTTAGAAGGGTGACAGAGAAGACTGACAGGAGGGTGTGCCTCAGTAACTCAGGGAGGTGACACAACAGACTGTGCTTGGGTGCTTATTGAGTCTGTCTGTCGGTAGCAGAGAGTGATGAACCTGAAGGGAATTCTTATACATTACCAGGAAGTTGATGGGAGATGTCATTTTGTAAATCTGTCTCTTATTGGTTGGTGAATAAAGTACTGTTGGCCAATAGGGAAGCAAGATAGGTGGGACTTCAAAAAATGGCATTTAAAATAATTTAGGGTTTTTCTTGACAATGAGAAATGTCTGCTCCTGGCGGCACCAATTACGTCTGAGAGGAAGATGGGCATCGAAGAAACTCATTATGGAGTTTGCTTTCAACATGGCAAGATCAGCCATTTGGGCAAGAAACTGCTCTTGCCTGGACTGCTTGACTATTGCTGTATTAAATGGACATGCAGGACCCACAGGAAAGTGACTGCTGAACCCAAACAGTCCTACAGGGTTCTTGATTCATGGAAGAATCTACAAGACTTTCTGCAGTACACAGAAAAATGACTGACATACTGCCAATACAGATGGACAGTTGGAAATTTCCTGCTTTGCTGAGAAGTCTTCCATACACACTGTGGCCTATGGGCTAAAGATGGATGCCCCAATGTTACAGCGGAACTTCGGGTGACTGTCCAGGTAACAAGATGTCTCTATCAATCCTAGCGTTTATATATTATCCTTCTGTGGTCTTTGATGGAGTTGAAGACAGATAGATATAATCATAGTTTTCCTTAGTTATGATAAAAGATAAGCTACATATAAGACTTTAGACTCTCGCAGATAGGATAGATAATAAAATACTTTCTTTAAATCTTACTAAATGTTAATGGACTAAATATTGTAACTATAGTTCTTACTTGATAACTGTTCTGTTATATGTAATTTGACTATGTTAAAGTTAAAACCTTTCTTTTTATTTAGACAGAAAAGAGGAGATGATGGGAGATGTCATTCTGTAAGTCTGTCTCTTATTGGTTGCTGAATAAAGCACTGTTGGCCAATAGGGAAGCAAGATAGGTGGGACTAGGAGTCAAGGAGGATTCTGGGAAAGAGAGGCTAGTGAGACACAATGTAGCTGCCAGAGAGGTAAAAGGTCAGGACCCTTTTCTCCGGTAAGAGAAATACTTAGATTAACAATTATGGGTTAAATACTTAAGTCAGAGCTAGCCAGTAAAAACCAAGCAAACAGCCAACAGCTTTATAATTAATATAGTGTCCTGTGTGTTATTTGGGGGTTCAGACAGTGTGGCAGGGCCCAGGAGACCGGCAGGGGAGGACTACATTCTACAGGAAGTAGTTCCTCCTCTCTGGAAATCAGGATGAAGATGCCTCATAAAACTAAAAGTAAACTACCATGTGACCAGCTATACCTTCCTCGGTATTGACCCAAAGGATACAAGTCAGCACATCACCAAGACACTTGCTCACATCAGTGTTTATTGCAGCCCCAGTCACAATAGTGAAGTCATGGATCCAAAGTAGGTGTCCAAATACAGAGGAATGAGAAAGAAAATGTAGCCTATATATGCAAAGGGATATTTTTTTCTGTCTGTAAAGAGCAAAGTTATGGAATTTACAGGAAAATGGATACACACACCTGGAGATAGTCTTAAAGTTTAAAAGAAACTTTTAATTTGTGTGTGTGTGTGTGTGTGTGTGTGTGTGTGTGTGTGTGTATGCCATGTTTGTATAGCTGATCACTAAGGCCTGAAGTAGGCATTAGAGCCCCCTGGATCCCAAGGTGCTGATATTACAGGCAGTTGTAAGCTACCCATGTGGATGCTGGGAACTAAACTCAGGTCCTCTAGAAGAGCAGGAAGTGCTCATAAGTGCTAAGCAATTTCTCCATCCTCTGAAGATAATGTATTAAATGAACTAGATCAATCAAAGAAAGAGAAACACAAGTTTTCTCTCATTTGTGAGTCCTAGATGTCAGGGATACATAATATCATATATGTCTTGATGACATGAAAGTAAATACAAAATGGACTGGAAAGGAGGGGGACTAATGGGAGTGGGTAAAGTGAGACATACAAGGGGACAATGTGCTCAAAACACATTATATATTTGCATGAAAATGGCCTCATACAGTCCTGTATAATAGAAAAATTAAGTTAAAACCTTAGTATAAGAAGGCGTCTAGTTTTAGCTCTGCTTCTGACTGGAAAATAATGTCTGTCCCTGGTTGTTTGGGGAAATCCAGGAAAAAAAATCATCGTTTGATCTGTGGAGGTGAAGACTGATGGTGCCCCCAGAGTTCCCCAAAGTGCATCACAAGGAGTGAGCAGCAGGTGCAACTGGACAGGGTAAAGTGGGCAAGAAGCTGTAAAGGTGTCAGATGCCTGTCCTGTCCTGGCAGGGAGTGTGGTTACAGCCTTGTCCAGGGAGTACTCATTGTCTTCTGGGCTGCCAACCAATGCTCCAAAGAGTTTCCAGGCAGAAGCAGTTTCAAATTCCCTCTAATTATAGGGAACAGCTCTGCAAGAGCCCAGAGTCCTGCTGCTACTGCTGTAGTTTGAGGGAGGGGGACTCTCAAATCCCCAGCCAAACCTCCAACTCATTGGGAGGTGCTAAGGGAGGCTGAGGAGGGACTGCCACGTGCCAGCTGGATATGCCAAGTGGAGGAGCCCCAGGCCTGGGGTTCTGCCATGTGTTTATTTGGTTTGGCTTATGTAAAACACACACAGAGAGAGAGAGAGAGAGAGAGAGAGAGAGAGAGAGAGAGAGAGAGAGAGAGAGAGAGAGAGAGAGAGAGAGAGAGAGAGAGAGAGTGTGTCACAGCCTCAGGGCCTGTGTGCAGAACCCACATTCAGTTCACTAAAATCAGCAACAGCACAGTACAGAAAATGTAGCTAAAACAGCAGGAGGCCACCATGTAGCAGTGGTTTTATCATTCACTCAGTCACTCATTCATTCATTTGCCCATTTGTTCATTTATCTATTCATTCACTCATTTAGCAAGTGAATGGCAGGCACCATGCAAGGCAGAGGCTAGAAATGAATGTAACAGGGTCCAGTAGGAATTTAGACAGGGTTAGGAAGAAGAGCAAGGAAAGATACCTTTTCAGGATAAATGGGACCATGCATGATATAGCCTGTCTATGATCTGGTTAACGTCATTCAGAGGCCTTGCTCATCTCCAGCTAGGCTTTGGTAAGCTTGACAATTGCACATTCAAAATTCCAGGATGCTCCAAGTCTAGGGGGCTTCAGGCTGCTCTGGGATCTGTCATGCCTGATCTGATTCCCATCTCTCTTCTTTGGAAAGGGTATCCCTGTGTTCCCTGATACTTCCTGTTGACCATCAAGGGTCCAGGAAACTCTCCTCTGGGTGTTCCCTGTATTTTATAAAGCCTTGATTCTTGGTACCACCCACTTGTTACTCTCCCACTTTACCTGTCTAACCCTCCCCCTTGGTCTGTAACAACTCTAGATAGTCTGGCCCACATCTCTCTCCTGGCAGCTAAACAGTGGATGGAACAGAAATGCTCCTAATAAATGCCTTTGCAAATGAGTGTGTAGGCAGAGTTTTTGTCCTGCCAGTTTGCTCCCAAATTACACAGAGACTTAATATTAATTATAAATGCTTGGCCGATAGCTTAAGCTTATTACTAATTCACTCTTACAACTTACATTAACTGGTATTTCTTATCTACCGCTCTACCACATGGTAGCACCTTTGTCCAGCACTGCATATTAATCTCCTGCTTCCTCTGCATCTGCCTGGCAACTCCTGGCTACACCTTTCTTCTTTCCAGCATCCTCTCCAGTTGGCTCTCCTGACTAACCTCTTCCTGGTTTTCTATTGGCCAGTCCGTTCTTTTATTAAACCAATCAGAAGGCGTCTTGTCAAGGACACATCTTTATAGTGTACAAAACATTATTCCATAGCATGAGTGAATATCATTTAGTGCTGCTATGGGTCGTACTGATATTTCACAACTAAAATAGACTGGTAACCTGGAGTAACAAACACTATGCTGCGATTCAAATCCTGACTTCAGTCACCTCAAACTGGCCACTTACCTTTCCAGGCCTCAGCTAGCTTAGCTTTAGTGTAATCCAGCGGTAGTCTATGAATATGACTTACATGGGAAGGCATTCCTCAGAGAGTGCTCATCTCTCTAATGTGCCTGGAGCCTGTCTTTACTAGATTCAGAAGAAGGCAAAGCCCTACTCTAAGACTGAGTATGCAATAAAGAAGGCAAGAGGATTACTGACTTGAAATTCTTAAGAGGTACCCTTCATGGATACCCCAAATGTATGTTTCCAGTTAACTGTCTGTTCATTCAAATGTTCCTGGCTGTCCCTTCTTTGGATCTGTCCCCTAAACACTGCAAAGTACTAGCAAGACAGGCTAGAGAACCAGACAGCACAGTTTCAAAACCTGTTGTGCTTGACTTGAAATTCCTGCTCATCTTAGGTGCCCCAGTGTATTTATTTTCTCTCTCTTGGATGAAGCTCTCTAGATCTTGGTAGGATGCTGTGCCATAGGTATGAGATACCTTTTACTCTGATGTCTCAGAAAGGAGCAACATGGATATCTGCTCTGGGTCCCACCCTTCACAGGGCACTACTCTGGCATAGCCATGACATTCCTTTTGCAGTGAGGAGTATGAGGGGCCACCAGCATAATGTATGAACCTAACATTCTCATTGTTCCCTTGCAGGTCACACTATGGCACGTGGGTACCACAATCCCCAGAGAAAATAACCTCCAGACTGCTTTGGGGGCCTCTTCTGACCTCTATTCCTAAAAATAGCCTTCAATCACTGAGCTATTCCAAGCCTGAAATGTGACCCAGGGGTGACTGTGAGATTGGGAATAAAATTTGGTTCCCACATGCGAACTTGTAAAGTTGTTCATGGGTTAGGGTGCAAACTGGGGTGGGAGTAACAGAAGCAGAGCATGGAGGCTGAGAACCAGAAATAGCATCTACCCTGCCCACCTCACCCAACGCCTGATAGCAGAGTCCTGAGAATTCCACTTTCTGATGTGGTTTCTACGTCACAAACAATGCATGCTGGACAGGAGAGAAGGGTAGAAACAGGCCCTTCATCAGTTACTTTTCCTTTTGTGTCCCTACTAGATAGACACATGGTATGTGGCTCTCTGTATTAGTCAGCTTGCCTAGTCCATTTGGGCTACTGTAACAAATATACCGAGAACATACACAATAGAAATACACTGCTCAACCTTCTGTTTGATTCAGTTTCTGGTGAAGGCTCTTGCTAGCCTGCAAATGGTAGCTTTCTTGCTTTGTTCTCACAGAAAGAAAAGTGGGGAGGTTGGAATTTTGCTCAAGAACACTAACAGTATGGTAAGTTCTTCCACCTTCATGATCTAAGGATCTCCCAAAGACACCCATTCCCAACCTAACCAAGTATTGTCACATTACAGCTTAGGCTTTCAATGTATCATGCACAGGCCCTTTGTCCTCTTGGTGTGTGTGTGTGTGTGTGTGTGTGTGTGTGTGTGTGTGTGATTTAGGTGTTTGTTTATACTTGTGAGTAGGTGTGTGTGATCATGTGGAGGCCTGGGCTTGATGCTGGGTATCTTCCTCTATCCTCCTCCTCATTATGTCTGTGGAGACAGGGTTTCTCACTGAATCTGGAACCCACTGATTTGTCTGTGATGCCTGGCCAATGAGCTTCAGGAATCTGCTTGTTGCCACTGAGTTCCCTTCTCTACTGAATGCTAAAGTTACTGCTGACAAACACTACTGGGTCAGGCCTTTATGTATATGCTGATGATCTGAATTCGGATCAGCCAGGTCCACCTCTAACATGTTTTAACCTAAAAAGGCAAGAAACTGGAGTGTGTACCTGGTCCCGTTAGTAAAGAAACTACTGTGCAGGAATGTCTATAGTCCCACTGTTGCTTGTTTTAGCCTAGAACACATTAGAGGAGGGCCTGAACTGGTCAGATGTGGGAGTGCAGGGATTTACTTCCTGTGGTGAGGTTCCAAGTCAGTGAGAAAAGAGTTGGCAGCAGCCACATTCTAAGCATCCTCACTTCTTCCCTTTAATAATATGGACTCTAGAACTGGTTTCTCCTTGCAGATGATACCTAAAACCCCAACCTTTTAGCCGAGCACTGCTGCCATTAAGGGAGGTTCAGCTTCTCTCGGGTCAGCTAGATTCACAGTCTTGAATCTCCCCCTGCCTCATCTTTCACTTTGACTGATCCCCAGCACCCGCTGGGGGGGGTGAGGGGGGGTTTCCTCAAGGCCCTGGTGTGTTCTTCCTGATGCCAGTCCTTTAACTCCTGCCTTAGGCTTTGCTCTCTAGAGCACACAGAATGAAGCCACCCCTCTGCCACTTACTAGCTTTGACTTCGGAGCAGGCTGATTTGCCTTGCTCTGCCTCAGGCATTTCTTTGTAAAGTGAGGATAAATGATGTAGCCCTACACAGACTTACTGTGAAGACTAACAAGCGCTAATGTATGTCAGTTTACTGCCCTATAACCATTAGCTTTTACTATTGCTCCTCTTTTTCAAGGGCACTATATTAATCTACTGAGGCTGCCAGAGCAATATACCAGTGACTGAGTGCCTCAAACAACAGAAATTAAGTTCTTATTATTGTGGAGATCACAGGTCTGAGATGCAGTGTGGGCAGAGTGGGTGTCTGCTACAGCCTCTGTGGCTTGTGTATGGCTTCTCACTGAGGGCACAGGTGGCCCTTTCCCTGTGTGTGCTCATTGCCAGTATCTCTTCTTGTATTGGCAATTTTTCTTCTTATAAAGACATCTGTCCGAGTGGGCTAGGCTCTACTCCAATGACAATTTGGATCTATTCTTTAAAGATTCCATCTCCAAATATAGCTATATTCTGTTGAATTGGGGCTTAGGATACCAACAGATGAGTTTAAGAGAATTCAACAATTCAGCCCATGACAAAGATTCTCAAGTGGGACTTTATTATAAGGCAAGCACTATGGTTGCACCCTAGGAATTGCCTTTGTCCTGGAAAAAGCAGGAAGTACAGTTTCACAGTCTTGCCTATGTCACAGTGTGGGAAAATGAGAAGGACTTCAATGGTTCCACTTACAATTTATTTTTTACTTCAAGAGTGAACAAGAGTAATATACAAATCAGTAGAAACTGTACTTCAATTTTAATATTCCATTTTTAATTTAATGTCCTCCCATGTTAAAACGTATAGATTGATTTAATTATAATTCCATGTCAGCCCCATTATCAAGGAGGGAAATAACCAACACAGCAGAGTACCATGTTGTTAAGCTGTAATACTTGGTAAACAATGGGTTTATCTATACTGTCATGGTTAATTTTAATTGTCATCAAGACACAATGTAGGGATACCTGAGAAGAGTAGTCTCAATTGAGGAATTGTCCAGATATGACTGGCCAGTAGCCTTGTCTGTGGGAAACTGTTTTGATTGTTGATTGAGGTGTGAGGGTCCAGCCCATGGATCGCATCATTCCCTGGGCAAGTGGTTCTGAGTTGTATAAGAAAACTGGTATCATTAGTAGGGATCCAGTAAGGAACTTTTCTCTTTGGCTTCTGCCTCTACGTGGGTTCCTTCTCTGACTTCTCTCAGTGATGTATTGTGACCTGGAAGCATAAAGTAAGATGAACCCTTTCCTCCACCTCAATTGCTTTGGATCAGAACAGTAACTAGAATATCCACATAATCCCCACTGTAGGTGAAGGAACACTTGTATGCACTCATAATGCTACACTTTCTCCTGATGCCTGACATCTATTAGCTCACATCAACATTCCATTTAAAAAATCCAAAAGGGGCTCATATTTGTTAGTTGGCCCTATGTGTCTTTTTCCCTGTCCTCATTGCTATGTGCTTCCCAGGCCAATCTGAGGAAATGATAGAACGGATCTGGGTCCACCACCAAGGCCATAGGTAAGAGGCAATTAGTTGTATCCACAAGTGAGTCCGTATACAAATGAGAATTAAAGAAATTAAACAGATAATCACACCTGTAGTACTTGGTGAAGGTGCTACTTGGACCACAGCCTGGACCTCCAAGCTCCATGTGAAAACAAGAGAGGGCAGGATGGAAACAGGGAGAGGTGCAGGCTGTTTGATGATCTGTTCTGAAAGGCAAGGAGGAAGACATTGATTAGTGAGCTTTGCTTGATCTTCTCAGGGATCAAAGGGACAAACACCAGGAGCAAAGATGAAAGATGACCTTGAAACCCTGTCCCCCAGCCTGCTCGGCCGCCAGGCTGCCGAGGGCTTATGAATCAAGGTGGAGGACACTCACAGAGACCATGGGAAGAACTACAAGCCCATTTCTTCGTCAGCCAGAACCCCACCACCTCCCTGATGCACTGTCTTTGAGAAGAGCCTCCAGTTATTCCTTGAGTCCTCTGGCGATTCCGGGAATGCGAAGTTGTAAGGGGACCCAGTGATAAAGCATTAATTCTTTGGTTTTGAAGAACATAGGCATGACGTCAGCTAACATATGATGATTGCTATGATTGGAGAACTGAAACAGGTCATTGGGAACCCTTCAAACCTCCTCCGTGAGAGGGTACAGTGGAAGACACTTCAACCTAGGCCTCAGAGAATACACTAACAGAAGGAGGAGGTTTCTCCTTCCAGTTTGAGAGGAGAGAACCACATCCATGCAGCCAAGGAAGAGGCAAGAGGCACCAGTCAATATTAACTGAATTTCTGACCCATGCCAGGGCCTGTGTCATCCCATTGGGTCCCAGTGGCACTGAGTAAGGTATCCATGGGGGTATTCCATCTCATAACGGAACAAGGACACTGATGATACTTACTGAGGTTGCAATAAGTCTCATAGTTGGCATATGACAAAGCCAGGATGTGAACGCACCTCTGTTCACTTGAAAACCTGGATTCTTACCAATTGTTTTATCCATAGTCTAGAGAGCTCCCTGTAATCCCTAGGGTAGACAGCAGGGCCTGGAAGTCGAGACAGACTGATCAGTTAACACACTATTGCAGTCGTTTTAGGGAGCTAGTGTAATGTCCCAACCCACCAGTTTAGTTTTTATAAACGTGAGAAGTCCTTTGTTGAAAGAAATGTAATCTTGGTTCAAAGTGCTGCTTTACTTTTCCTACGGCTGTGAAAAATACCTGGGAGAAACAGCAGAGCAGAGGAAAGATCGATCCTGGCTCATAGTGTCAGAGGGATTTTGATTCGTTCTGGCTGGGCAAGCATGCTGGGAAAGATCGCTCTGTCCGTGGCGGCAGCAACATGTTCACAACGTACAGACTAGGAACAGGGGAAGCTAGACTGGAAACAGAAAAATAGGTGTGGCTATAACACTCAAATCCCGCCCCCCGGTGACCTAGGCTTTCTACCACCAGCTAGGCTCCGCCTCCTAAAGTCTTCACAGCTTTCCAAATAGGACCACAAGCCCCAGCATTCAAAACATGAACCTATGGGTGTACATTTAGCAGAGCATAATGGGGAGACTTTTCCTCTTTTCCTCCTCCCCAGTGGTAGCATCAGAGCTCTCTGTATGGAGGGCTACATGGCATCAAACTATGAGATGGGTAGATGGGCTGAGAGCTGGGAAAGGAGGAAGTGACTGTGTCTAGTCCTGCACCACAGCCAGAGTCCTGGCCAGCCTCAGTTATCTGTTTCCACAGGCCAACTTATGGCTTTTGTACTTTTTAAATATTAAATTGTGTTCAACCTGGACCCTGTGTGTCCAAGGAGAACTATGAATTTGGTCAACATAAAATTGTAAACTTACTTAAAGCATGAAATTTGTGGGGAGATGTGTTTTTTTTTTTATTTTCTGGGATAGCTCAATGCATGGTTCTTGAATAGAAACTTTGTAGGTAACAGTGTTGTGTCACAGTGTCAAGAGGTTGGGCACACGCCTGGCAGACTCTACACTTTGGAGACCTTCCAGACTCTGGAAAATGCTGCCACTCTGAATTAGTTCTCATGGATGGATGTCACAAGCCAATACAGCTAATCTTCTTCTTCCTTTCATGGTGGATTATAGGAGAGCTCTGTTATCATTGGCTGAGGCAGAGGAGGTGAAGTAGGGCACATGAACACAGCGCTCATAACTAACTGATGGTGAGAACTTTCACACTGTCTCAGCCCTTGGCCTTAGCCCAGGAGGGCAGAACATGGATTTGTCTTAGACACATGCTTTTGTATTAGTTACCTTCCTATCATTGTGATAAAACAGCACCATCAAGATAATTTATGGAAGGGAGGATTTTTTTTGAGTTTAGGATTCTAGAATACTAGGCAGATTTCATGACTCTGGGGGCATCATGGCAGCAAGCAACAGGTACGGTGGCAGGAGCAGAAATCTGAGAGGGCTCACATTCTGAATTATAAATTTCAAACTGGAAATGATGAGAAGCTTTTAATCTCAAAGCCACCCACAGTGACACACTTCTTCCATCAAGACCTCACCCCCTACATATTCTCAAACAGCACCCAGGGACCAAGTGCCTGACACTATGGGGGACATTTTTCATTCAAAATACACTCCCCCAAAACCAAAACCAAACAAGCAAACACACACACACACACACACACACACACACACACACACACACACACACACCCATACCTATCTACTCTGGTAACATCCTCTTGGACTCTGCCAAAGTCTCCCTGCTCTGTCAAATTTTAATCTGTTCTTCGTATTAGAACTTCCATATGTATAAAACAATGCTTATCTACCTTGTTCCACTTTGTATTTGTCTGTAACTTGTGTTTTGCTAGAAGCTTGTAGTAGAGTTGTAACACTAGCAGTCAGAAGTGAATGCATTTGCATTGAGTAGACACAGAGAGTAAGTTAGTAAACGCTATCATAGGTGTTGAGCAAGGCTATGAAGAAGTGTCAGCAATGAAAGACTCATAGTGACAGGTGGGAGATTGTGATGCATTAGATAGCAGCTGGGGACAACCTCTCGGGTGAAGTAGGGCTTGGAAAAGAACCAAATAAGATTAGAGAATAATCCACGAGTATCCAAGAATGGAGGCTGCCAGTTCAACCTGCACCTGGAGCATGCCTTTTGTCTTCGAGGAGCAACAGGAGAGGCAGTGGTATGGAGCTGAAAATGAATTAGGGAGGAGGAGGAAAGAAATGACATCACAGAGCAAGGAGATGCTAGGTCACATAAGACAGAGGCAAGTGGGCACAAAATCTTTTCTTAATTACACAGAAAGATATCAGGTTCTGAGCAAAGAAATGTAATGGCTACATTTTGCTTTGGCAAGCTTTACCCTCATTACTTTGTGGAACCATAGAATGTGGTGATCCAGAGCCAAATCTGCTTACCAGGATGGAGACTTTGGAGATGGGCCAGGTGAGATGTGGCTCCTACTGAATGGTAGCCATGGAGATGAGGAGAGACCAGGAGATTTGGGATATGTTATTAATACATTTGCTGATGTTATATTATGGTCAGTAAGGTCAAAAAAAGTAAGACACTGGAATGTTTGATGAGAGCACATTAATGAGAGATATTGCTATTGCTACAATTGAACAAGTCAGCTGGGGCCAATTACTGCTTCTGAAAAAAATGTGAGTTTGAAAGGATTATTGGGGACTTTCAGATGTACTCTGCTGTGGTCATTACAGAAGAAGCCTCAGCTGATCTCGCAAGAATCTGGGGTCAGGACAACCGTTATCACTGTCAAATGGGGCCAAGAGAACCAGACTTTTATAGGTTCACAGTAGCCAGCCATTATGGACATCTGCCCCAGGGAGGAAATATCACCACGGGGAGGGCTCCTTTCTAAACAAGTTCTCCTCAGACCTGTCAGCTGCCACAGCTCCCAGCACCCCAGGCTCTGATGGGGCACTCGATGGTACATGCCTCTATCTTTTGCAAGTTCTGGCTTCAGTCTTTCAAGGAATGGCTCTTTTGCTAGCTTTCTCAGTAGTGTGATTTTGGTCATGAGCCAGAAGGTGCTTGAATAAGACCCAAACTTAAGTTTGAAAAGTTCTTTTGTTAAATTCACCAGTTAAATCTTAAACTGAACGGAATTGTAATATTAATTGCCATTTAAAGTATTTTCAACTTCGCAAATTATAATAAGTTCCTCTGATTTACAGCTAGGCCATTATGCTTTGAAAAAGAAAAAAAGCATTGATTCAGAAAATGTAACCATTTTCTAAGTGATATTTCTATTGGTTCTGGAAATTCTGGAAACCAGATATCCTTCAATGAACAGTAGTCAACATGTTGATATTTTTATAGCTGCTGTTGGCAGAAAGTCCCTCCCAAGAGCTGACATAAATCCTGTTCAATACAGTTTTGGACATCATGTTTAAATTTTTCTATAGAGAGCTTGGAGAATGGCTGGCATCAGATGTGGATTACAGGCAATTTCTGCACTTGGAGACTATTGTTAAATCATGATTCTTCCCTTCTGATAGGAGAATGCTGGAGGCTGACCATAGGAAATGGCAGAAGCCTTAGAGGATATATTCTTAGTGTGCTCACTTCCACAAAGGAAGTTCACCAAGCTCCCCAAACAGCAATCAGAGCTAAAAGTGGCACATCTTATATACTAGACACACTAACTAAAGGGACACAACTTTCTTCTCCCCCACTACCCAGAAGTCACAGGCAGCCTGACTATAAGCACATACTATGGACTACTTATTAAACATATGGCAAGGGACATTGCGCGGTCTCCAAAATCTCATGTTTCTTAACTCTCTTCAGAGTCGCCCATGCTACCTGTCTGTGGCATTCAGAATTTTTTGCATAAATATCTTACCTGAAAGGACTATCTGCTTCAGTACCACCAATGGACACCCAATCTAAGTCAACTCTCGGGTATATGTGCCTAGGTGTTTATGGGTTTGCATCCCTAGGTGTGTGCCAGGTAGTGTGCATATGTGTACACACATATATATAAGTGATATAATGTCTGTAATGAAAAATTGTGTCTGAACAATTTGTCAGCATGATAATTTGTGTGTGGGGGGAATATGATCATAATCATATGCATCTGGCCAGGTATGTGTATTTCGGGTTGTAACCTCAGGTACACATGAGAGAGTAAAGGTGTGTGAGCTTGCCAACTGTGCTTCCCAGCTACGTGAGCAATCATTTCTGTCTCAGAAGCAGGAATATCAGTGCCAGGGTCTCGGTTCGCGCTGCAGCAACTTTGCTCTAGTGATCTTGCTCCAAATGTTTTCCTCTCAGGTCTCTCTAGTTCTTCCGTCCCTTCCCACTGGGGGTCAAGGCCCAGAAGGGCTCTCAGTGACTTCTTACCCTTTGGAGTTGATGCTCTGATGTATGCCCTGGGAGACTTGGCTGTGACAGTCTTGTCATGTTGGACTCTCTGCTGTCACTGCCAAAATGACAATTGATGATCAGAACTGGGGCTATCTAGAAACCCAACTTCAGTACAGAGTCCTTTGATCTACCCAGACTCAGTGGAGCAGACTGGCAAGGGTGCCTTTGATGGGGCCTGCCCAATGAGGAACCTTCAGGCCGTCCCTGCCCATTCCCTGAAGTCTTTGATGCCCATCGTGCCTGGTCAGCCTCAGAAGCAGGAAAGCTGGGGACAGAGCCAGCCATACTGTACCCTGCTTCTTGGCCTTGTTGGAAAATCTCCATCTGGACATTTGGTCTGATGAAACTCACATCTTGGGGATGCAAAAGTTGTTTCTTAGGAAAATTTCTCTAGCAATTTAGCTTATAAATTTAGCTGGTATCACAAATCAGTGACAGATACAACAGAGCAAAGTCATTGCATACATAGCCACAGAAGGAATGGATTAAAATTAGCCGCTTCATAGTTGATCCAACTTGGGTAGCCTCAGTACCTTCTGTGTATCCCTCAATGTCAGCATTTTCTCTTTTGTCACCATGTTAGTAGGAGTACCAAATTAGGTCCAGCAAATTAGTCACCTGATATGCCAAGTAAGTCCTCACTAACCTCACCAACACTATATACACTGCAGGTAGCCTTCATGGTCGGAGGGTGGAAGTCATGTTTGGTCTGAAGTCCTGTGTACTTGGTTCAGGACCAGCTCTGAACCTCTACCCTATCACTTTTCATAACTTACCTCCTAGAATAACTAAGAGGAGTAAATAAACTCACATACATGAACTGTTTAGTATTGTGTCTACAGTCTAAGACATTAGGTCACCATGCTGTTGTGTTGTTTCATTTCTATCCTATCCTATTCTGTCCTGTCCTGTCCTGTCCTGTCCTGTCCTGTCCTGTCCTGTCCTATCCTATCCTATCCCATTCTTTTTATGAGATTAAGTCTCAATTCATAGCTAAAGATA